CCCAAAACCCCCCCCCCCCCCCCCCCCCCCTTCGCCATTTTTGCCCAACATCCCAAGATGTTCCAACTTCACACAACCGTCACCACAACCCGAGATCTCCCTTTCCCGGTAGACCAAGTCCTGAAAGTCGTCCACAGTCCCGAAGCACTGATCCTGCTCAACCCGCTCGTCCTCAGCTGTCGGCGACTTCCCCTCTCCCGCAGTCCGCCCTCCTCAGACCCTCCCAACAGCGAAGACAAACAAGTCCAAGTCCAACCTTCAGAACCCGGGCCGGTATTTCCCGTCCCTGGCGTGTCAGAGGACATCGAAGAGGAAACATGAGAGATCACCGACCGGCTCTATTTCCTCTGTTTCCCTATGAGATGACCTATACTGCCGGGTTCACACGTCATCCAGGTGGGATACCCCCGAGTCCCAAAGCAGCGCTAGGCGTCAAGCTCAGAACGGTATGGAACGTCGGTGCGCTCCCTATGCCCGCAAGTGCTGCGTCTGCCTCCCCGTCGGGGGAGCAAGGGAATGGGAATGGGAATGGGGATGGGAGGAAGGGGTGGACGAGGGTCGAGGAGCGCGCAGAGATTTGGGCGCCTCTCGGGTTGTTGGGCTACGTTAGGCGGACGGTGGTCCGCGCGCATGAGGAGTTGATGCGTGCTCTGGAGAAGATGTTGGAGGCTCTGTGCACGTGAGGGAAGTACAGAGCTGGGTTTGGTGAGAGTGGGACGAGGAGACGGGTCTTGCTGCCGTGCTCTTTGTACGGTTGTACGTATCTGTAACGGTAGCAGGAAATGTGTGCGTTTAATGTAAGATCTCGCGTCAACAAGTGAACGCCTAATCCAGCATATCGCTCGATGCTTAAACTCTCGAGGGACTAATCTCCGCATGTGCTCTCCGGGCAATCAATCAAGGAACATTGATGACAGACAACCGAGATCTCATTCCTTCGTTTTAATTCTTAGAATTTCTGATTATACACCTCACTCTCATACTCCCTGTGCTCAGTGCACCTGCGCTCCACCGGTCAGTCGATCATTTCTTAAGCACCGCATGACTCGAAGAAACGTCGATCTCCATCGGATCCTATACACAGTCAGCTTGCCACCCACACCCACATCTGCAAGAACCGGGCATACCTTCCCCTGCCTCAACTCTGTCGCACTAGGCATAAGCCCGTGCCTCAGCAGCTCGGCGCATTTCATCACCACAGGATCGTTCTGCATGCTCACTACTGCAAGGACCGTCTCCCCCTGAACGTAGAAGGCGATGAACTTGAGCTCCTCGGCGTTCCCGCGCAAGATGACAGAGTCGAAGTTGATCCCTATGCCGCAGTAGCGAAGTTGCTGGCCCAGAGCTGACCAGAATATAGGGATCCTGCCGTACGGGTGGGGAGAGCCGGCGATGAGCGCTCCTACGGATCGCCCATGATCGGTCGCGACGTTCCAATGCTCGATTCTGCGCAGAGTGCCCACTTCGTCCACTGGGTAATGGGCGATGTCCCCTACGGCGAAGACGTCCTCCAGCCCGAGTACACGAAGTTCTGTGTCCACTTTCAGGCCCCCGTCTCGTTCAAGCGTGAATGAGGGGTTGTTAGCTAGGAACTGGGTCGCAGGGCGCACACCGACACCCATAACGACGTAGTCCGCTTTGAGCACCGTGCCGTCTCCTAGCGCGACAGACTCGGCTTTGTGCGTCCCGGTGACGTGCCCTAGGACAGTGGGCGGGCCGTGGATAGCGGTCGTCTTCTGCTCCATGTGGAATGTAACGCCGTTCTTCTCGAAGAACTGCGTGTGTGTTAGTCAGTCACCCTGGAGACAAGTGCAGGAGCAGGGGAAAGGCACCTTCATGAGCGCCTGTCCGATCTCCTTGCCCAGCACACGCTCAAATGGCACTGTCTCCATACCGATGACGTGTAGCGATGCAGGCTCGTTCTTCATGACCACCGCGACGAGTTCCATGCTGATGAAGCTCGAACCAATGACGACGAGGTGCTTGCCTTTGTGCTTCAGACCTGACAAGGCATGTCAAAACGAGTTGCCTGTAGGGACAGGGACCGAGACGGCGCAGTCTCACCCTGCATCTTCTTTGTATCATCGATGTTCCTGAGAGTGAATACGTTCTGAAAGTCCGCACCAGGAATGGGGATCCTGTTAGGCCAGCTACCAGGTGCAAGCACAAGCTTGTCATACCCGACCGCCTCACCATGGACAGTCACCGTCTTCGCCTTGGTGTCCACAGCGGTGACTTCTGTTCCGGTGTGGAGGTCGATTCCGAATGTGTGCCGGAGGACGGAAGCGGGACGCCATTCAAGCTTGGAAGGCTCGTCTAGGAGAGACTTGGACAGCTTGGGGCGGTCGATAGGCGCGTTGTGCTCTTTCGTGTACATGGTCACCTTGCCCGTGTAGCCGTACTAGAACTCTCGTCAGCCTCTTCCCCTCATCTACATGAGAAGGAACACACCTCACGCAAGGCCTCTGCGGCACCCAAACCTCCTGCACCACCACCAACGATAACGACCCCCTTGCCCTCATCCTTCGCGCCCGCATACTTACTCCTAGCGAACGGCTTGCGTTCCTTGTTCGCCTTCTTTGTCTCTTCCACAGGGGCAGTGACGGTGATCTTGCTCTTGTCTTCCGACAGCACGGCTGTGAAGCAGTGCAGCGCGTCACGGGCGGGTCCGTCCTCGATATCACCGGTCTTGACAGAGAAACAAGCGGAATGCCATGGGCTACCCGGGGATTTAGTCACGGGATCAGACAAGGGAAGGAGGCGTACCATGTCACACGGCCATTAGCAGCCAACACGCCCTCTGCACGGTCTCAGCACTCGCTCCAGTCGCATATACGACAGCACTCACTAGCTAAAGGAGCGCCGTAATGGGTGCAGAACGCGCTGGTCGCATACACTGTCTTCCCTCAGCCTTCGCGCTGTGATAAGAGGATAAAAGGGACATACCGTTATCCCCGATACGGGAGACGAGGACCTTCTGGTCCTCCGCACCAAAGTCGATCTCCTTCCTGTTCCTGTTCAGCTCTCGTCTATAGAAACAAGAAGAGCGCATACATCTGCCCATCTTGTATGTCGCTTGCAGCCAATTCGACGGTGTGAGTTGCCATCCTATGCGTGTGTGTCCTGTATGTTCTAAGAGGTACGTATATGCGCGGTGTTGGAAGAGTGAGAGAGCGAGTTATAGGGAACAAGATGGTGGTGGTCAGTCGAAGAGGGAAGCGCATACACCCTTTTTGTCAGTGTAATACGACAGCTGTGCATTGAATTAGAAATGAGGAGGATGGAGGTATATATTGTGTGCTCGGCATAGAAGAAACGGTCCACCAACGGAAACGCCGCGTGATGTCATTTCGGCATCATTGGCCGGAAGGGGCTGGACCATCGGCCAATCACATCGTGTGATTATCCACTGACAATGGTTGTTAATATTGATGTTAATATCATCATTAAGAACTAGTACTTCAACAACTACTAGCAATTAGCAACTGTTAACAACAGAAGGCACATTAATCCCCGTCACATCTCTTTAGATCGTTATCATATCATATCTCCCGATCCTGTCTCACACCACCAGAGCATCGCCCTCAACGGCATCCAATACACTCACTATGCTGCGGAACCGGTCCATCCCTTGTCATCAAAGTATGAGCACGCCATAAACAACCGATCACGGGGTACACCCACCCATCACACCGTCCTATTGAACGCGAATCCCACTCTCCCCCTTCTCGCGTCAAACAGGTAATCGAACTCCCCCAATGCCCCCCTTCCGGTATTCACAAACGGGGCAGCTGCATGCCTCCAGCTGACGTACGCCGGCGCACCAGGTTGGCCAGTGACGAACGCGTACAGCTCTTGCCCGCCCAGGGAGGGGAGGGTGAGGTTGAGGCTCGTCCCGTTGGAGACTGTTGTTACACCCCTGCTGGTGCTGCCGGGGAGAGCGTCGCTGGCTGGGGACTGGATGATTGAGTAGGAGATACCAGTGTCGATCAGCAGGCTGGCGTTGAATGGCGTCCAAGTTTGCGAGGCGACGTTGACCTCTACCGTCGGCGGTACCCAGTCAGAGTAGGTGACGTTGCTCGCGTTCCCCGCCAGTTGCAGTGCGACAAAGTCAAACCCCTCGCTGTTAGCGCCAGTGATACCGAGTGTGATGCTAGAATTGCGAGGGGTGATGATATACCCCGGACTGGCGTTTTCTCCAGGCTGCATCTCCTCCAACTGGAGGAAAGCGTTCACCCCAAGCGGCACTTGGTTCCCGCACCCGTCCTCCCCACCCCAGGACATGTTCCCCCTCCCCAACCCAACCCCGAGCATGCTGACGCTTATCTCCCCCGGGTCGGTAGTGCACTTCCCTGTCGCCCCGGAGCAGAACTGTGTTGCCACCCGGACGGGGATGGGGATCGTCTGCGCGCTCACGGGCTCGGAGCCGGAGCCAGAGAAGACGATGGGCGCGAGAACCCAGTGCCCTTGGTAGGTGTTGTTACTGCTCGAATAGGCGAAACAGAAGTTCTCATTCAGGAGCGTGTAGTTCGTCCCTAACGCACGGGGGGAGATGAGCACCCCCGTGGAGCCGGTGTCGATGAGGAACTCGGTAGTAGGGCCGGAACCTACGGAGCCGTAGATATGGTACCCGTTGACAATAGACGTGTCCGAGGTGAAGGGGAACACGTAGGATGTCGTTTGGGCATATGTGGCTGCCGCGTAGAGAAGGAATGCTAGCATCTTGCTGAATAGGCTGGGTATTCTGACCGAGAAGGCAAACAAAACAAGCGCCCAGTTATAGCCCCGCAGAGAACTCGTCAAGCCTCTCCATTCCAGGCACAGTACTTGCAGCTCTACGAGACCACCGTTCGGCAGGAGACAACTGCAGGAGCAGGGGCGCTGAGCAGGCAAGCCATTCGTTCCCCGCGTTCCTGGTACAGAACGAGGCGGAGCGGTCGAACAGAGTCTGGCGTGGCTGGCTGGGAGAGTCTCAGCTGGGTCGTAACGACACTGCAGACACGGGGCACCCAGCTACCACATGGAAACGACAAACGTTCAGTGTCAAAGAAGACATGATGCAGCCTCACACTGAAGTTCATAGCATGTGCATGTGCGCCGTTCGCCCAGTGGACGCTATGTTGCAACAGGGGATATTCAGGCTTGGCATGCACTTTCGGACGAGCATGGGAAACGGCGGGCGGGGTCGGGCGTCAGTTTCTGGTGGAGGACCCGGATTGGGATTGAGCCTAGGAGGTTGGATTGTGGAGAAATCGGTCGTGGGAGTGTGGGTGGGAGATGGGAAGATGCATATTCGAAGTGAGAGTTGTGGGGCCGAGACAGGAGTCGTCCACCTCGCTTCCGGCGGTTCCGTCGTGGAGGTCGGAGTACAGCACCAGCTGGTCAACTGGTCCTAGCTCTAATTTATTCTTCCTCGTATCAATAGGGATATCCTTTGTTTGGCTGTTGTGGCACCGTTTGACAGACCATGTACGGCAGTCAGAGAGGACGTTGACGGTCTCGGCCCTCGGTAAACAACACCCCTGTCCGCCGATACTTGCCCTTTCCGCCGAATGCCACATGTTCGGCCCCATTCATCCTTCGATACCAAAACCGGCGCTCCACCTCCGCCCGGACGGCACCCCGCACTCGGACATGCCTACTCTGGTCATACCCCGGATTTCGGCTCTGGTCGGATTGTGCGGGGATAACAGGTGCCTCGGTTCTCCTTGATATAAGGGTGCGTGTTGACCGACACGCTCCCATCACCCGAACATATCCACAGGCCAGTTCCCCAGAACACAGCAGCTCGTCATGCCTCAAGTCCTCTTCCAAGATCAGAAGAACTTCAATCTCACAAAGCCGGTTGGTGCTGATAATGCCAGCCCGGAACTCGCGATCGGGAAGGAAGATGACCCGCAGTGGCTCAAGGACTTCCAGCGTGATGGGGTGCGTCTGCTGGCCATCTTCGTCCAGAACGTTCCTGCTCACTTCTTGGGATAGTACGTCGTCGTGAAGGGCGTTGTCTCCCGCGAGAAAGCGTTGGATTACTATGCCAAGGCTGGCGAGGACTGGCTCGAAGGCTTCAAGCTCGGTTACAAGAGGGAGGACCCCTCCACGTGGGACGTCAAGAACCTCCCGAGGCACATCTATGGCGGCCTGTACGCGCAGTACAGCATAGCCCATGCACAGTTCGTCTGGGACGCTAAGATGGAACCGAAGATCGTCGAGCTGTTCGAGAAGCTGTGGGGGACTAAGGAGCTCACTGTCTCCTTTGGTGAGCAATATTCTGGGAGACGCGATCGCCGCTTACTGGAGAACAGACGGAGGAAGCCTGGCCGTGCCTATCCCGCTAGATCAGGTACAGGAGAACGCCAAGCCTTGGCCGCACTCGGACCAGAGCGCATACCGGCCCCAGCTTCATTGTGTCCAAGGCTTGCTGAATATCGTCAGTCCTCTCTCTCATATCTATAAACGCGTCCCACCTCTGTCCGCAGCTGCCCAACGGCCCCGAGGACGGTGGCCTCATGGTCCTCAAGGGAAGCGCGAACCTCTTCGAGCAGTACTTCAAAGAGCACATGCATGAGGAACCACCCGAGAAGTGGATCACCCGCGACGTCTTCTTCTGGGAAGAGGAGCAGCTGAAGTGGTTCTATGATCGTGGATGCGAGTGGATCAAGCCTGCTATGGAGCCCGGTGACTTCGTCCTCTGGGACAGCAGGGAGGGCCATTACGGTGCTTTCCCGAAGAAGGACAAGAAGCGGTTTGCTATCTGTGGGTCCCTCGAGCCTGCATGTCCGCTGTGTTCTGAATGCTCGCGTCGCAGACATATGCTACAAGCCGATGGCCTTCCTCACTGAAGAGCAGAAGGCGCGCAAGATCGAAGCCTTGAACCGAGGCTACTGCACCACGCATGATCCCTGCGACTTCATCATCAAACGCGATCAGGAAGCAGAGTGGAACATCAATTTCCCTTACGGGAAGCCGGTGCTGAACGACCAAGCGAAGAAGGCGATCGGGTTGATCCCTTACTGATCTGTGCTTGTGGAGTGTGGAATAGGTCAGCCTGTAGAACAGAAGTATCGGAATTGTATGTTTCATTTTGCTACAAACAGACCATTATCCCTAGTACCAGCTTCGTTGTCATTAACTGTGCGTGACATTGAGTGGAGCCATCTGACGACTAGCCTTCGTGGAGTGTATTTGGTCTATCCCATTTGTTCGTGGTCATCTTCCGCTTCCATCTTCTCCAGTATCTTCCCAAAGACGACGCGCTCAACACGGGCAGGTATGAACGCGAGCGTGAGCGGTGTGCCTCGAAATGTTGTGATCCTTCAGTAACTGGAGTCAAGATATTGGTAGAAAAGTGGAAGGAAATGCGGATAGAAAGAAAGTTGTGGGAGCATAACAGCTCGATAGTCCATTGGATAGTGGACGACCACTTCCAAGGGACGATGTAAGTCGCGACTCGCGCTTTGACGGAAGCAAACGACGGTTTGATTTTGGTCACATGACTTTTTTAGTGGCAGTGATATCAGTCACGTTCTCGAAATGGGCATTCGCGCGTCTTTGATTCCATCGTCCGCTCTTGTGTCTGCTTCTCCTCCTCCTCGACGTTCCTTCCCCCTCCTTTCCTCCCTCCCATCGACGACCTCGCCGTCGACAACGGGTCGGATGGCAGCCGTCGCAGTCACTCCCCGTCCGCAGCATCCGTTTCCCCGCCCTGTCTGGACACACGACCCGCAACCCTCCGCGTCCCTCCAACCAACAGCACACATGATGACACCCTCCCATCTCCCGCGGGCCCTCGACAACCCCATGGACGTATTTACAGCCTCTGCACCGGCGCGTATGGCCAATCGTGCGAAACGAACGCGTGACGATACTCGCTCGGATGCAGCTCAACCTCCTGCACCGAAACGGACGTGCGCATCCCCAAGCAAGCGACTGGCGAAACAGTCATCGAAGACCGAGAAGGACAAGCTCGAGCGGAGAGAGAAGCGCATGAAGTACGAAGCACAGGAAAGGGAGTTTAGGGAAAAGTACTCGGCTGCGTTTCCTAAGTGGACCTTCCATTTCGACTCCTTGGATACTGCAACCGCCTCCATGTTGACACAACGGGTTACCCAGTTGGGAGCGGTGCGCATACAAACACCTCCATTCACGCACTGGTGCTGACAATTTATTATAAGCGTGTTGATACGTTCTTCTCCAAGAAGGTTTCCCACGTTATCAGCACACGTCCTGTCTTACCGGATGCCAAGGCTGCCAAAGGGACCGCTGGCAGGGAAGGTACACCTCAAGCTGTTGCCAAACGCGAAGTCGATAAGGAGAACGTCGCTCCCAGATCGTCTCAACCAGGTCAGCGACTGTCTCAGGCACAGTCTACACAACAGTGGAAGAACGCCGCTCGTCCTGCCCTTGCACCTCTTGGTCGTAGGGACGGTAACCTGCTCTTTGAGGACTCTATGCCAGTGAAGAATGACCTCCTCTCCAAAGCAATCCACTTTGGCATGAAGGTGTGGAGTGTTGAGAGTACGTCTTGAGCATACGCGGGGCGCACAAGTCTGATGAATATCAACAGAGCTTACTTCTGTCCTGGACCGCATACAGTTACCCGTTTCGCCTGTGGCCCACACCCCAAATCTCTCACATCTTCTTGCCGACGAACGACTCCACGGCACACGCGAACGCGACCCCAACGCCCTCCGTCCCGATTACACCTATTTCCAACGCGGTTCTTACTTTGTTCTCATCGAAGACATGTCTGGCGAACACTGTCCCATCATGATCAAGCAGTATGATCGCCCCGCCAAAGGTGAAAGAGCTCCATGGCCTTGCTTATATGCGGATAAGAACGCCTCTGGACCGTTCAGCCCCGGTTATGAAGAGTCGACAAGCGAGGAGAAGCCTCTCGCTAGGCTTAGTCCCGAGATATCTGCTGTTCCTCCCCCAGTTGCGACATCACTCTTGCCCCCAGCTCAAATCCAGAAGTCCAAGAAGTCCGCTGATCTTCGCAGAGTTCTTTCCATGAATAATGTCAAGCGATTAGCTGGTCAGCATGCTATCCCTGACGCAAGCATAGCCGTACAGGCGTCGCATGACAGGCCGGGCGCATATATGGCGGCTTCAGGAAACAGCGTCAGTGTCACGTCTGCTGTTGCGACATCTACTCGGTCAGCTTCGGGAACTACTCTGCCTGGCGGCCTTGGTCATGCTGCTGCCAATAAGCAGCTGCAGGATAGGCTGCGCCAACAAGTTCTCACCAACCGTCTTGCCGCCGCTACCAACGGTGCCCCGGCTTTGCGCAAGAGTAAGAGCACGAACACGCTCAAGTTGCCTATGCGGGAAGAGACCAAGAAACCGGGCTACTGTGAGAACTGCCGCATCAAGTTCGCGGACTTCTCCCAGGTAAGCGTTCAACATGTACTGAAATCAACGGAGCTAATACCGCATGCAGCATGTGAAGAGCAAGAAGCATCGTACATTCGCGACCACAGATGACAACTTTGTCCAGCTTGATGAAGTGCTTGAGCGCCTCATCCGGCCCAAGGCAGATGAGAAGCTGGACATTGTCGAGTTGCCCGCCCAGGAAGAGGAGTACGAACAAGACAGCAATGTGCTGGACGAAGAAGCAGACGTCAGCGGTGATTTGGGTCTGGACGATGGCGAGGAAGGGACTGAGGAGCACGACGAGTCCATGCTGGGCTGGAGTGCGACCGCCACGGCGGTTCCCTCACAGGCAGCTGAGTTCATCTGATTGACGCGTCAGCGGCGACGCCTTGGCGGTTTCTTGACGGGTCGGCGGTACACCCAACTCAGCGATGTCTTCTTCTGTAATTTCCGGCTGTTTCCCAGTGCACGGCGTCACACTCACAGCTCCCTTTGCGGGCACGATCGGTATTCCCCCCTTGCTCATTGCGCATTCTGCACTTTCTCCAACGCAATCAACTTCCACATCAGCGCACGTTTCCACCTGTAGATCATTCAATCGTAACTTGCATAAATCAATATGACCCGTTTGCAGTACATCATCAAACGGACGGTGCTGTTCAACCCGTCGGAGATGTCTTCGCCGTCCTCGGAACGTCGCCGCGGGGATACGCGTCGGACTCGGCGTCGGATGCAAAATAATTGGCTTGTCATTGCCCTCTTCAGCGAACGACGACGACGACAACCAGACAGCGAGCAGCGACCTCTCTTTAATTAACGTCTTTCACTCCTTTAACATCTGCTAGACTACTAGACCTTGCTAGCATTTCCTGGCAGCCTACGAATCCTGATGTTCTCCGCTGTGATAGTGCAGCGTCAAGCGTACGTTCACTAACCATCCATCGTTCGCCACTTACTGAACATCCCGTAGTGCACATCTCTACCGCAGCAAATCCCCCCTCCTCTCTACTAGCGAGCTTTCCATACGTGCATTCCATGGCCGGCCGTCAGCACTCCGCTACACCCGGCTCTACGCGACCGTCCCCACGACCTCTGAGCGCAAGCTGGAGCAGCCCTTACGACCCCCAAGCACAGAAGGGAAGAAGAAGAAAGTCGAGCTACGGCCTAGTCCCAAGCTCCCCGAAACCCCAATCCAAGCGAAAGCATCAAAGTCCAACGCTCCCCCTCCTCCAGCACCAAAGTTCACCCCCTCGGAATTGGATGCTGCTCCCCAGCCTCTTCCCATCCCTTCAACACCGGAGGTTGCCCAGCCACACGGCCTGCGATCAGCGATCGATATCGCCATCTCTGATGTGCTGCGCGCGTCGCGTGAAGGCCAGTTGGCGCCTATAGACCCCTTTCTGCCCTGGGTGCAGCGGATGTTCCGCTTGGGAATCGAGCTCGCCAAGTTCTATTGGAGAGGGACGAAACGGTTTTTCGAGCACAGGAAGATCGTGGGTGATATTGGGAGGAGGTGTGAGGAGGAAAGGAGGGGGAGGACGTGGAGGGAAGAGAGGTTTGTACAGTTGTATAAGAGCGATAGGATCAAGTACGTCCTTTCGTGCCCTATGTGGATGTATGCTCATATGCCTCGCAGGTTGCTGCCCTTTATCCTCACCATCCTCATATTAGAGGAAGTCGTTCCACTGATAGTGATCTACGCGCCCTTTCTCCTCCCATCAACATGCATTCTCCCTTCGCAACAAGAGCGCATGGAAGCTGCCCGGATAACCAAACATCGGGCCGCTCTCGCACAGCTCGGAGCAGCGCTGAACCAAGCTCCAAGCTCGGAGAAGGCCACTTCTCAGTTCAGGATCGCCGACCTCTCCCCTCAACTCGTCAAGGGGCTTTGTGGGTGTGTACCGCTCTCTTCACTAAGAAAATCCTATAAGTTAACAGTTGCCCATAGTGCCCTCTCACTACGCACGTACCTCCCCACTCCGTTCCTCCGGTGGACACTCTCCTCCCACCTCACCCTGCTAGAAACAGACGACCAACTCCTCCTCCCGGCCCTTCCTGGGCTAGACGTGCACGAGCTCCGGCAAGCAGTGACAGAGCGAGGCGGGCTGGCGGAAGGAGCAGGGGAAAAACAGTTGAGGGTATGGTTAGCTCGGTGGATGGAGGGTGTGAAGCCGACGCTGCACGGTGAAGGAGGTGAGAGGAGGGCAAGGCTGATACTGGAGTATGCGGCTCGGCAGTGGGATTGCGGGAAAGAGCATTCGACGCATTAGGGCGCAAATACGGTGGGCGGTGTGGTGATGTACAAGACTGCTTTGGCGTTCAATGGGCATAAACAGAATATTGACTTAATCCCCTCTATCCAGACTCGAGGTTTCCATCGTAGCACATCCTGCCTGGGAATACCTGCCGCACCCAATGAACGAAAACGCATACAATTGATCATTCCAGAAGCATATTCTACTTGTCCCATGCGCTCAGCTCAGCCTCCTCAGATCTTATCCTTCACCTCCTGGATCTTATGCTTGATCTTCTCCCCCAACCCTACTTTCTTCCCCTGCCCATGCCCGGCAGCACCCTCCGCCTTGCCATCAGAATAACCCATATCCCCAGTGTTGGATGGGTCACCCCCCGCCCCGATAGCAGTCGGGTCCCTCTCCCCAGCCCGGGCACCTGTGTCGGTCATGTCGTACCCCTGCGCATGCCCTTCTTCTGAGGACCACCGTTCCTGCTTATGCGAGCCATTAACAGCCTCAGCAGGGTTCCAGCCAGCAGTCTCTCCCCCCGCACCCGTCCCCGTCCTGCCCTGCAAACCCCCTCCCTGCCTATCCTGAGTCACATCCCCAAACTCCCCTCCTCCCTTAAACTTGCCCTCGTACCCACCCGCCACACCCGTTCTTTCCCCTCCTCCTCCCCGTCTTCCGGAAAACGACTCATCCCCACCCTGGGTGACCGAGCTTCCGTAATTGCCGGTGTTGTCGAACCCTTCTAATTGGGCAAAATCTGTGTTCAGTCATTAGCTCTCTGAAAAGAAGGAAGGGCGGACGTACCGGGCTCCCGACCGACGGAAGGGGAGAGGACAGCGCCGTGTGTGCTGGACATGATGTGATCTGGTGTTGTTTTGCTTGGGAGTTGTGCTTGGTGTATTGGTACGGGGTATACTCTCCGCGCACTAGGCTGGGTGGTTATATCCCCTTCCTCATCCCCTCCCCCTTTCGTCTATCGGAGGAGGGTCACAGGGCGTCATCCTGTCCTACCACGCTCCAACTGCGATGGCTACGGCTCCAGTGGGCTTGGAGTGTTCATTACTTGGAGCGAGTCTGGAGCTGTGGAGCCCACTTCACGTGTTTCTCCCCAATAAGCACTCACGCAGGAGAGCAGAGGCGGTATGAGACTGGGTAACGTCATTCACCAATGTCATGTGGGGATCTTTCACCATCCACACAATGATGTGGAGTTTGAGGGTGATCTCAGGGCCAATTGGCCTACTCCTGTCCCCACTCTTCTGGTTTTTGTGGACCTTTGGATACCAGCCCTGCAGAGATGCATGGTCTTTTGGGAGCTTGCAATGCTGGCTGCCCTGGAACTCATGGCAGGTGTGACCTCGCTTGGACATCTTGTCAACAAAAGGATCACTCAGCCTCGTCAGTGCTTGCCCATATAGATGGCTCAGTGAGACATACACATAAATCGTCTTCATCATTACTGCTTTGGCATGAGATATCTCACTATTATATGCTTGCCAACTGGTGCCCACATGGGGCTTCCGGAGGATGGGAGCTTCATCTGCATCAGGGGACACTGGGGCAGTCACTTCTTGATCTTCTCCATTGAGGATCACTTCATCCTTGTTGTTGGGAGGCATGGCAGCAGATATGAAAAGCAAAGAGATATAGTAAGGATTGGGTTGCCTTCCTGGGCTACCTCTATCCAACCTACACATCCACTGCTTTTGTACCTTCCTCATCTGCATCAGCACACACACCACTAATCACATCACTGTATATCAGTTCCCATTCAACATGGGCAAATTCTGTGAATGTGGATGCTCTGAAATATGTCAGAAGAATCTGGCACATCCTACACACTGAACTACCCCATTCAGTACATCCCCTCTCCCTCCCCTTCCCTGCCCAAAAAACACACCTGACACTGCATAGGCACCACTGCTGACTCCTGATGTAAGACATCTATGAAAAGAACACATTATGGAACAGGGTGCATTGTGCAGCCCCCTTCAAGCCCCCCACTCCCTGCTAAACTTCCACTCCTCTGTCAGGGCACCAGCTCATTGCTTGGTCAAGAGACATGACTAAGCCTTTATGA